ATGTCAAGACTACATCCGTGAAGGAGACTCATACGAACTTTGCTTGACGGCTGAAACCAAAGTCACCCTTCCGGCCTGCCAGAGCGACGAGACGGATGTCCTTAGGTCTTGGCTGCTTTACAAGCGACTACAACAATTCAACCCTGGTGCATTCAGTGGTTATGCTAGGTTAGCTGGTGTCAGCATTGTCAGTAGCAGTCCGGAATGTTTTATGCAATGGAACCGTGACTTCGATTTCGAGATGAAGCCCATGAAGGGCACAGTCAGGAAAACCAACGAGATGACTTGGGAAAAGGCACGCAAGATACTTGGAACAGAGAAGGAGATGGGCGAAAACCTCATGATTGCTGATCTCATCCGCCACGATCTAACGGAGATGCTTGGATCTAGGTCCACTAAGGTAGAGAAGCTGTGTGAAGTGGAGGATCACGGTCGCGTGTATCAAATGATCACGCATGTCAAATCAAGACCGCTGCCTTACAAGGTCTCTTTTATTGCCGAACACTTGGGTAAGCGTGCTGGAATGGTGTCGCCTCATGATTTCGAGCCCCTGAGGTCGACGTTGCCACCTGGATCAATGACCGGAGCACCTAAGATACGTTCCTGTCAGATATTAGCAGATATTGAGGGGCGACAACGAGGTGTCTACTCCGGCGTCATGGGATATTTGGATGTCGGTGGGGGTGGCAGTTTCTCCGTGATCATCAGGACAGCGTTCAGTTGGTACAATAAACAGTCCCAGGAAGAAATATGGCGAATTGGAGCAGGGGGTGCTGTCACCGCATTGAGCACTCCTGACGGCGAATGGGAAGAGATGCTCACCAAGCTCAATACAGTCTTGGAGATCTTCCGGCCCACCGTCATGGAGGACATCGCGGAAGCAAGTGAAAAGACGGTAGGTTGTCGTTGAAAACATATGAAGATGGCCAGGACCAGGGGGCGACGACATCACGTCTGCGGCTCCGTCGCAAGGCAACCTTCAAGTGGTTCACATTTTCAAACGCCTTAACAGTTCTCTCCTCTAGTGATTGAGAACCAAGTTCGAGGAGGCCCTTTTCACGATGTCAACAGCTCTGCTGGATAGACAACGTCACATGGCACTGGGCATGGAAACCAGATTTGCCAGTCCTGGACATCTACATGGAACAGAAGATGGCTTGAACAACATCGCATATAGACAAAATACCAGTGAGCTTCAGCAGTCCGCGCCGAGATCAAGGGTACATACTTGAATGCTGGCTTTCCTATCGATCGCATTGCGTTAGTTTTGCATGCCAGCCGTCTGTGATGCACCAGTTTAATTCGTACATGTACATACTACATATATTTGCTCCGCTGACGCAATCTTCACGCGAACCAAGCCCGGTTGCAGATGATGTAAAGCCCTCGAGATCTCATCCTCTGCACAATGTAGCCAGACGAGCACTCGACACGCGTTGAACGCTCGTGATTGTTTTGCTGTCTTTGCGCAGTGATAATGTTTGACAATCAGCGGCAACCACCAGGGAAGCAAAGAAGAATCTACCGGGCTCACTCGAATCGCCTCATAGCATCATTACTCGTGTTGCTTCCCATGCTCAGAGTGACGCTTCATGATTGATTCTTTATAATCAAGCGCCAAGTCAGTCGCTTTGCAAATTGACTTGCAAAGCCTGTCTATCTGTGCATCGAGCATTCTCCGTCGAGACGACCATTGCTACTCCTTTCATGCCGTCAAAGGAGTCCGTGCTTTTATCATAAATATTTGCTGAAGAAACATACGACAGGCAGTAACCCACAAGCGTCTTGCCAAAGAGATGCGTCTTATTTTTCCAAGATAGGTCTATCTACATTCAAATGCCGAAAGCATGGCGATGAAACTACCATCATCACTGTTTTAGACCAAGATGAAGCTTCAAGTTTGAAGAGTATGCATGGATAACAGCCTGGTCAGGAACGAAGATGGCCTCAACTCATCATGATTTTTGGGCAACCTACTATTTCGAACCGGGACGATCAGTGCCTAAAGAATTGCTAGTGCGAAGTCTTGAAGAGAAATAAGAAGATCACCAGACTTCATTGGTATCGATATCTTTCTATGACCCGGAACTTCCATCAACGAAGGACAAACGCGGTCTTCTAGTTCTGGGCATGACATGTGGTGTCTGGGCGTACGAAACGGGGGTGCCAATCTTCGTCGAGTGTTACTCATAAGATCACGAAGCCGTTCTCGTGCTCAGACAGAGGCCAATCAAGGTTGATTTAGAGGAGAGACATTCAAATGACGTTATCACTATTGAATTCGCATAATCCAACTTGTATTCCATTCACCCGGGTCAAGACAGACCTTTGTTCACGATCACAACCAAGCTCCCTCCACGATTATATCGTTCATCTGGAGAATACCAGCAAAGAGCGAGTAAGGCAGAAATTACCAATTGAAACATTATCAGTCGAAGCAGAGTGGGACATTTCCCCAGAGTTCAGGAAGCAAGTGCGGGTTGCTGCTACCCTTATCGCTTTAGTCTCCAGAACGGGCGAGACTTGTGTCTAGCAGAGTCGTTAGGGAGGAAATCTCATTGTCCTGAGATGTATGAATGGACAGACTCTGTGGGGCAACTTTCACACTCGTTTCAATCTCACGTCAAGTCTTCCATTGACAGACTCCGGGTTGAGCGAGTTCCATATCGCGTCAAAGTTCAGCTGCAGGCTCTGACTTGGAACAGCCACATGTCACCGTTACAGGCTGCTGGTGTTCTCAGTCAACTCCGCAGACTACTCGCTAGAACTGACCAAGATACTATCTCAAGAGCATTTGAGATTGCGAAGCAGATTGGTCTTCCCTCTTCCAGATGTCCAGGCCTGGCAGGTTGAGCTTGAAATCGTCGTATCCATGATGACTAGTATCATTAGAGATTCGAATAAAGAAAGCAACTCCGGGATAACATCGTAAGGAATGCATTCTAACATGGTTGTTATGCACCGTGTTTCCGTCACTCCTTGTGGTATGTACCTTTCAGGACCAAGAATGGGGGCCAAAAACCGAATGTTGAGGAAGTGCGAAGGTTATACAGATCACTTCTTCAGAGTCACATCCACGGATGAGGACAGTGGTCCAATTCTCTATTACTTCAAAACAAATACCAACAAAGTCTTTCATGACCGGTTAAGAATACCCTGAAGCAAGGTATTGACATGGGTGGAAGGCATTTCAGATGGCTCAGCTTCTTGCACTTGTCACTACGCTCCCAAACATGTTAGTTTGTGGCGCCCTTTACGACGTTGCACGACGGCAAACGTTGGGATGCCAGAACGGTCATCGAGGGACTGGGAATAGTCACAAATATTCCAATTACCTCTGAAGATAGCCGCTTGTATTGCGCAGACTTCTTTTGATACTGTAGCTTCGATCGAGGACCCCTCCCCTCTCCCAGAAGTGCTACAAGGGTGGCTGACGTCGAGAAAGACGGACGTTGCTTCAGTGATGGCGTGGGTACATTCTCAATATCCCTCGCCCAAAGGATTTGAAGACTATAACGCCGGTGTCAAAGGCAATAGCAGGTTATATGGAGACCAGTTACTATTGAGAGACTCGATGACCAAGTTTGAGGCCACTGGTTCTGCCATCGAAACCTGCGAATCAGGTACCCGTGCTCGACCTCTTCATCTCAACCAACAAATGATCAGGATTCTTGAAGACCTTGGAGTACCTGGCATTCATGCAATCACGGCGACAAGAAGTCCAAAAATCACGCACAACTCCCAACTCGGCTTCCACGGCAGCGGACTTACTCGAAGGGACGCACATCCCGGGTTCGATCGGTTTTCCCTGGCTTATCAAAACTCTAAAAAAGAGCCTGGGTTGAGTTCCAAAGGCGATGAATTTCTCAGATCCCTAGTCAACCTGGCTATTTTGATACGACTTCGCGATTTGATATAGAGCGAGAAACCCGCTGCCTCTGGCTGTAAATCTCTACGTGGTTATGGATGAGTTGGGCTATCTGAGGGAGAACTGAAAGATGTCGCTCATTTACAGGCGAAGATGGCCAGACGCAGGTCCTCGTTCGTGATAATATCGTGATTACCCAGTCTCCAGCTGTCGATCCTGGAGGCATCCAATTCGTCAATGCAGTTAAGAACGTGGACCCTGACCGCCCCCTGAGAAAGCTTCACACTTGTGTAGTTTTCAGCCAACGTGGCTTTAGAGACTTATTTAGCATGCTGAGCGGTGGTGATTTAGATGGAGATTTAACATTATCTATGACGAGACGCTGCTTTCAGGATCAGGACATGATGCGGCCGAATATCCACCTGTTCTGGAGCAGCAACTTGATCGGCCTTTACTGACCGCCTGCCCTCAAAGAGATTGATAATGCCTTTGGACCTTCGAGGAGGAATGTTAATGTCCTGAATAAGATTTGGAGATACGTACATTCGCATATAGCAGGTTTCCAGTGAAAACACTCGATTGAGGAAGCAGAGGAATGAAGTAGCTATACATGCTAGATCCATGATTTATAACGGCCAGTTACTGACAAATCGATGCCCATTGTGTTTCGATTCCTGATTTTCAACTAACTCGAACGTGTTCTGTCTGCTTAGAATACGAAGAGGTGGTTGATCTCGTGGTATCTACAATCCGTGACAGCGACGAAAGAAATGCCGAAGGCCTTCATTGTCGGTTGCGTTACACATGGCTGTCAGGGAGCACAAACAGATGTATGAGGTTTGCAAGCAGAGTCAATGGTCGCGATCGCGAAAACACTAAGGTAATTAGCTTCGTCTGGCTGGCAGCGACGGTATGTTGGAAGGAAGTGATTGAGTTCCAGATGGAGAACCTCCCTGTTTATCCCCAATGGGACGACGATACTCGGTGGATATTTTGGACTTTCACCGCAATTTTCGACCTTCAACCAGGCGATAGGCCATCATGGTACATCAGACTTCAACTTCATCGCATTCAGCGAGATGCAGAAAGTGTAACCTCATAAATGAGTGTATACTAAGATCCTATCATCTCAGGTCTTGTGGTCTAGTGGTATGATTCTCGCTTAGGGTTAACCCTAAGTAGTTTGCGAGAGGCCCCGCGTTCGAGTCGCGGCAAGACCCTCATTGTTTTTTTGCCCTCCCTTCATCGTCCACCTCCTGAAGAACCCATTTCCTTCGGTCTCAGTCCGCACCATTCTCCCATCCTTCTCTTACCATTTAGATTATCAACTCATACGTGAATGTCTGATACACTTCTGGCTGTTACCGCGAATCAGGAAATCCTATACATTCGCTGCGTAAACGGCTCATGATGTCATCGATTTGCAAGCTTGTCAAACTGCTTCCATTTCGGGAAATTTCAGACCTCCGCGGACAGTCAACTCAACGTTCATCAACCTCAACAACAACATCCTAACACCATTTTCTTCGCCGTAGTTGGTTGGAACTCTCGACTCACTTCTGGTCTTCATCAATTCAGTTGGCCACCGACGTTGTAGTCTGAGAGGAGGAGGAGGAGGAGGCATAGCCAGAAAGACTGTAATTTTTTTGCTTGTTGCTGAGTTTCGGCACCAACCACCATACACTAGCTACAGCTTTAGTGGAGATATCTTCTTAGCGCTGGCAGCTTGCACAATCTCACTTAGAGACTTACTGGATTGGAGTTCAATTGTGTGACTGGGACACGAAGGGAAAGCAATTAGGAAGGTCGATATGGTTGATCCAGCAAATCTGGGAGGCGCTCCTCTTGAGGAGATTACCTGGCGATCGCCTGGCCATGTCCAGACTATGGGAGGGTTCCTTCATTCCAACAACAGTGAGAATTACCCACTCTCTTGGTTCGCCAGAGCGACCCGTTTTCTGTTGCTTCAACGTCACAAGGCTTTATCCATTGATGTGGCTCGGCGCGCTGAGCCCTTTCTCTACGTGCCATCTGTTGGAGAAAATAAAATGGACATCCTGTAACGATTGCTGCTATTTCTCCATGCTGATCTCTGTCTGTGTTCTGAGATAGTTCTCTTCTACTTCGCGGAGTCACCTTTCTTTGACGGAACTTCAAACAATGCAAATCTTCTCATCCAAGCCACTCACAATGAGAGCATGCGACACTTTATCGAGACGCGAGAAGCGTTCGAAAACCGCCTGAAGCTGATGCAAGGCTTAGAGTTCGTGGTTGCGCACGATCCAATCCTCGAGTATGGTGCAGCCCTTGAAGCTGCTGCCAAAGAGGCATCCCCTGGCCAGCATCAGCAATTGGCGTTGCCGCAAGGACCTTCAAACATCTGGGTCATAAGGAAGCAATACCGACGTAAGTTTCCTGGGAGGCCAGATGATGTCGACATCTTGTCTACTTATTTTATTGTGGAGGACTCGGTATTCATGGCTCCCTCGGTATCCGGTGTGGTTGGGAACAGAATGGTAGGCTATTTCTTCTCCAGATTCTCAGACATCGTCCGTCTTTCCATCCTTACCCAGGATCCTAGCTGCGCCCATCTTCCTACGCCAGATTTTCAAGCAGATGCTAATGGACAATCAGTTGTCAACTGTCACATCACTTATCAAGGCTTTCTCGGCAATTTCATCCCTCCCGCTCTTTTCAGCATCCTACGGACACACTTACACCCCCACCGTACCTAAAACAATCGAAGCGGCACGTCTAACCCGTTCAGCAAACCGACATAAACCCACAACACCCACGCCAGGAGTATCAGAAGGGATTACCGAATGTTCTGAGACAATGACGCCGGCCGAATCAGCTGCCATGATCCAAAATGCGTATAACCTAGCCAAGGGCATACAGCTCATGCGCGATTACGGCAACGAGTACATTGATGAGTTACCATTACTGGGAGAGCCTGGTTCATTCCTTTTTTCTTCCGTCAGAAAACCCGAAGCTCAGCCGGCTGGCCGACAAACGACTCTGCCAAGTAGGATTGCTATGAATTCCCCTTTTCCTGCAAGCGCTGCTAGTACCAAGCCTGGGACTCCTTCTGGTAAATTGACCGATAGAAGTGTAGTGTCCACTGCAGCTCAAGACAAGGTCCGAAGAGAATTCCAGAGCGGGAGCGCATAGCCTTACAGCACGATTGAGCTCAGAGCGTTTCATCGCCCAATCCAGGAATTACCGGACGGAAGTTACTGCCAACTATTGCCCGGTCATCTCCTCCCACTTCACAGTCCTGTCGCTCGAACGTCGAACCATTATCTTTTTTATGGACCGGATTATTCATGTTCGAAACCTGCAGGGCGGGAAGAAATTCCCCACCTGGTCCGTGTCTCATGGCGATAAGCTTGTCCTGTAATTGTGGAACCCATTGGATGGGACGTCGTTGAGGTTGGAGCGCCCCCAAGTCCCACAGAAAGAACGAGATTGCCCGCCGGATTACAGTAGACCACCGTTGCGCGGCTTCATTTGGAGAGGTCGTTCTCCGTGCTCTTGGCGTCTTTTAACTGGAGTTCAGAGAGCTCGGCTATCCAGCCACGCGGTCATAACCCGGCCAACAATTCCCGCCTTGATTTTTGCCGTCGAACAGCACGGTTGCTCTGGGCTTACGTTTCATTTTCGCATCGCAAATGTACATTGAATGATGGGGATTGGAATGGTTGCCGCAAGGATTACTATCACTTGGTACCGAGCATCACAAGCTTTCAAACCGCGGACTCCAGCAACCTCTCGCGAGCGCCAGAACGCAGCGCGCTGAGTGCAGGTCGCTGGACCGAGCTTCACACGAAAACGTGCTTAGACTTCCCTGCCTTTTCTCTCGTGGTCCGCGGTAAGTAGAAATACTGCATGTGCGGGTCCCTTGTCAATCCCAGCCATCACACAATTATCGATCTAAATCACATCCGCCATTTCTGCTGTCACTTAATCATTCTACAGCAAAGTCTTTGTCAAAAAAATCGAAGTGACATTGAGCCTGCAGCACACCGGAGTCTTTGTGAAAGCTTACCAAATACACTCTTCCTTGCGGTCCAAACAGATCTTCATGTCGTTCAAAATCGGTCGCGGTGTTCGCTGATTCTGCCCTTTTCTTGCTGCTACTTCTGAGATCCACACCGAGGTATATTTTGTGGATATCATGTGAACTCGACCAACCAGATGTCAGCATATTTCCAAGCTCTTCGCGCAGGGCTCCAGGGCTCCGTGCTATTTTTTTTCTCCTTTTGAAAGCTGCGCCGCTGTCCCTAATGGTACCTCACGCGCGGGCTCCTCATTTTGGAAACTTCTCCGTGTCAAGTCGACTAGGTGGCGCGCTCCGATGTACATGCATGGCACTCTAGTCAATATTCTACCCTGCAGTGATAAATGATATATGGCGACCATATGGGATGAGATCGTGTTCATTTATGTGGCATCACTATTGGGCGAACGTCGCTTGCTAAGTGCGTGTATTTGAAGGTTTTGTTTTGTGGACCTGCAGTTGCCGGAGCACTATGCCCTGTATTGGCAGGAAGATGACAGGACAGCGCACCATGAACGAGATTTTGAGTTCATGTCGCAATGAAGTCTGGGGTAAATGTCTCGGGTCGGCACTGAGAACCTGGGGTAATTGAAGAAGGATAACGTTCAAAATTTTACTTTTTTAAACCGGGCGCGACATTACCCCATCTCATTCACAACCTTGTTCTTCGCTTTGACGCAGTTGGTTTTGGCAGATCAACTATCTACAGCCCTTTAAAACCCCTTCATCGACTCGAAGAAGTCCATCCTTCCTGACTCACAAGCAACGCTCTTCTCCAACACACAATTGAGTTCTCTTCATCTCGAGCAATTCTCACCCCAGCAATAGCAAGAAAAAAAACGGCAATGGACACTGATTCTTGGTTGACGGCAAGTCATGCCGAGGATCTCAGTTTCATGGCAAACAATTCCGGCTTCGACGTCCTGTCGTCTCAGTCAACTTTTTCAATCGAATCTGGTTTGTGCGACCAATCCGCTCTGATCTGCGAATTCGAACAACCAACAAAGATACCTGTGCAGTCCATCACACAACCGACACCGTACCAGCTATTTGACGATGGCCTACCACTCCCATATCATCAGGATACCGGAGCTATCAAGAATCAGCTATTTGACGATGGCCTACCACTCCCACATCATCAGGATACCGGCGCTCTTAATAGCTCGCCAATGTACTCTTCTGACACTGTCTTCTCTCCCTTCTCTGGATCTTTGAGCGACACATCATCGTCTTCCGATCTGCTTTCGTCACCTTATAGTGATACATCTTTTAGTGGCCTATGGAATCTTGCTCCTGAAAATAACTTTGCACCAGGACGAAAGGAATCGATGGACACCCTGATCAGTGAATGGGGTTGGAGTCAGGCAGATACGAGTTCACTTCCAGAGTTGACGCCATCTTCGCCGGACGATGCGGACCGGAATATGATGTCTATGGCTGCGCCCCCGCCATTGCAACCGGACAGTGTTAGTGCCAGTGCCCAGTCGCCAGTTACCCATGCAGCAATCATGTCGCGTGTGATACGAATTGAAACGGATCGCCGATTCTCCGATGCAGGTTACATACCCCCAGTGAGCCACAGTTCCGCAGCAGCAACGCAAAGGGTTTTGAGCTTGCTCGGATGCCTACAGCCGGTGATACCGGACCAGGTTATGCCGGTGTGGCCACTACAGCAGGAACACCCCCCTGATACGCTCAAGCAGTCAGAGATTGCAGCTCCAACAGCAGCGACATCGGCCATAATGGCCGTGCCATCGAAGAAACGGAAGGCCGTTGATATCATCCAATCAAGCTTCGACTTTGAAACACGTCAACCGAACAAGAAACGAGAGTACTTGGATTACTTTTCTTTTTACAAAGCACAACCAGAGCAGTGTATACCCGCAGTTGAAAGTCTCAATGTACCAAGTGAGCCTCCATCAAGCACACAGGATACTTCTACATCGACAAACTTCACAAAGCGACGCAGGCGGTTGACGGAGAGCGAACGCAAACGGAATCGGGTTCTATCGGAAAAGCAACGGCGAGAAGAGCTCAAAGGTCGTCTCGATGAGATATGCTCGATGATACCCGGTCTTCATTCCAATCTGGGCACGAAGTCCCTGGTCCTGCAGCAAGTTGCAGATTGGCTAGAAAATCTCCTCCTCGAAAACAAGGCAC